TATTCTGCACATTTATACTTCTTAAAACCTAGAAATTTTAGTTGCCAGCTATTTAAAACCTCTCTTAAGGTTGCTCTAGGCTTGCTTGCTGTGAGATTAGGATTCTGTGGAGTCTCTTCATGTACCTAAGAATTGCATGCTGAAAGCTTAGGAGAATACCTTTAAATGTTTTTAGCTCTTGAAGTATGACAGGTATCTGATCAAAATAAAGGATGTTTGCTACTGTACTAGGTTTGCATGGCAAGGTTTTGGTAGCGGGGGACTACAGGGGTGGCTTCTGTGAGAAGATGCTAGAAGCTTCTCCCACGTGCAATGAAGCCAATGCCAGCCAGCTCCAAGGTGGACCCATCACTGGCCAAGGCCGAGTCCATCAGCAACAGTGGTAGCACCTCTGGGATAACAGATTTAAGAAGGAGGGGCAAAAATCGGTGGCAGGGCAGCAGTAGAGAGAGGAGTGAGACTACATGAGAGGAACAACTCTGCAGACACGCAGGTCGGTGCAGAAGGAGGGGAGGAGGTGCTCCAGGTACCGGAGCAGAGGTTCCCTGCAGCCCATGGAGCAGACCATGGTGAGGCAGGCTGTCTCTGCAGCCCATGAAGGTCCACAGTGGAGCAGGTCCCCACCCACAGACCGGGGAGGACCCCGCGACGGAGCAGGGGGTGCCTGACAACAGGCTGTCCTGTGGGGAGCCCGCGCTGGAGCAGGTTTGCTGCAAGGGCTTGTTTTGCCCTTGACGGTAATTGCTCAGTGATCTCCCTGTCCTTATCTTGACCCATGAGCCTTTTGTAGTGTTTTTTATCCCCCTATCCAGATGAGCAGGGGAGTGATAGAGTGGCTTGGTGGGCACCTGGCATCTAGCCAGGGTCAACCCACCATGGCTATCTAGCACAAACTTACTTGTTTTTTTTGCATTTTTTCCCTTTGGTTCTGCTCCGATTAGCCTTTGAATGCTTCACATTACAGAAGTGAGCAGTTATTGCCGCTGAAGGTGACTGTAGCTGCATGATATCACTTTCTGTAGTTGTTGCCACTCAGGGGAAGCTTTCACAGTGTTTTCAAACAGCTCTCTTTTATGATGAGGTAAATAAACTGAAAGCGAGAACTCAATTGTACATCAAAATGCCTGCTTTTCAAATTTCTTAATGTCATGGGGCTGACCAGTCTTGTACAAGGTCCTCTACAGCCTGCTGTAGGTGACCCTGCTTCGGCAGGAGGATTGGACTAGATGACCCACAGAGGTCCCTTCCAATCCCGACCATTCTGGGATTCTGTGATTTCTGTTTATAAGGAACTCTTACAGTCTTATAAATATTTTATGTCCTTTAACACTTCTAATATAGCAAATCAGGAGGCTGTCTGATCCAGTTTTAATATTATTAACAATTGACCTCAGAGGTACTGTTGTGCATTAGAGAAGAGAACAGGCTTGTGCTAACTTTGCTTCAGAAAATTAGTGCTCTTTTAAGAAAAGGCAACAGCAAGTTTTCTTTGCTTCCAATTCTTCATGTGTAAAATGGAACTTACATTATTCTGTTTGCATTACACTGGTCTCACAAAGGATAGGAAGTAGTCAGATTGCTGGGGTTTTAAAATAAATACGATTATCAGCAGTAAAAAAAGATGTAATTGACAGCTATTCCGGGGGGTGGAAAAGCTTAGAGATTGTGGTTGGAAGAGACCAAAAAAATAAAAGCGAATATTAGTAGTGTCTTGATGAACTTGGTGAAATAAGTATAGAAGAAGAAAGTGGTGTTGCCCCCAAACGCTAGCATTGCTGGGCAGTTATTTTCGTGTAGCGTATTTGCTGTGTTGCTGTAAATTGGTAGCAAATTGTAACTGAGAGCAAAGCTCATTGCTGATACGTTTTGGTGCATGTCTCTGCAGCTAATGTTGATATTTTGTTAACCAAGTGTTTTAGAGACTTAGGGGAGGAACACATCCTTATTTCAAAGCTATTCTGGATTGCTTGCCCTTTGTTTTATTTTCTAGGGTGTTTTACCCTATTTTTTAAGTATCTAGGGTATTTCCCAGTAGTTTTACTCAAGTGGCTAAGAAACTGAAGGTAATTTTTAAAAGCAGAGCCCTTTCCATGTGTAAATGTGCATCACCTTCCATATTTGCCCCTGAAGTGAGGCGAGTTCACTGAGTAAGGCGAGAGGATGATTTAGGTGGAATCCCCAGTGGAAGCTGTGGGGTCTAGATTTGAGCGGAGGTGAGAGTGGATGACCTTCTGTAGGTTGTCCCTAGAATTGGTGGTTTGTGATCAACACGTACTGCATTTCATTAGCAAGGGATTGGCAAGTATGGCCTGAGCTGCTTTTTCCCCTTACCTCCCTTATCGAGATAACACTAGTGTCTGGGCTGAGCCCTTACTGATTCTTTTGTTACCTACTCCTTTATTTTATAATTAATATCTTTGTCATTATACAGGTGAATTTTAAATCTTTGCTTGGAAATCTTTCTCTGGAAGCGAATCATTCATCAGTAGGCTTGTGTGAATGGAGGCAGCAGAGTGCCAGCAAATGGCTCAGTGGTGGACTGGCTTGCCTGGGTGAACGTGGTTCTTGATTTCCCATTGGGAAATAGCAAAAAGAGGGAGTCCTTGCTGACAAGCAGCCAACAACTTGTGGTTATGGAAACCTGAACTTTTAGTACAGGATTCGAAAAATTGACAGCTCACAGAGCACTTTGAGGACTAAGGTGAGAAGGTGAGACTCTGCTGATTCCTCGCAATTATGCCAGTGGCCATAAACGTGGAATTAGTTTGTAGTGTGCTGAGTATTTAGCAGCTTAAGCACAAACCCGTGGTCTGTATCACGTTAGCGGACAAAGTGGTATTAGCTAGTGGGACTGTTGAAGTGACTGATACTAACCTGATGCAGTTTATTGCGTCTTCAAATCTAGTGACCTTCCAAGTAGATGGAAACGGTGTACACCGTTTTGAGGAGTGCTGCTTTCTAGTGCACTGTTGTAATCATTCTCTGAAGCTGAGCAGTTGCATCAACCTTACAAATGGTGACTAATGTCCTTCTACTGTATATCATAACAGAAAATGATATTAGGAGAATTGTGAATGAAATAATAGAACATTTCCTGAAGCAAAGCCAACTATGAGATCAGCTCAGTGTTATGACTCATTTAGTAAGCCAAAGCTCTTTAAGCAGACATAAATGTTGTTATCTATTCTGTGTCTGACTTCCGTTAGAAACTACAGAAAAATCCTACTTTCCAACAGCAACTTACAATCGATGAATTGCAGATAAGACAAGATATTATTTTTGATTCATGTACTGTACTGGTCTTTGGGGGTTTTTTGGTGTGTTTTTTCATTATTACTCACTTCCATTTTTTTGAAGAGCAGCAAAAGCATTCTGCAACTTGAATAGCCACAGTAAGGCTGTCCCGCAGGCTCTACGCTGAAAGTGCTGAGAATGTTTGTCTAGACTTCGCAATTTTGTCTTGCTTTACTCTCTTTTATTGTCTCACAATTGTTACTTTTCAGAATTTGAGAGGGCATTAAAGGAAAGAAAGTGGAACAAAAGTACCAGAAGCCAACCTGGAAATTCTGAAGTAACTTCTGAGGGATGCAGTTGAAATTATCTAAATCTAATGCTTCTGTGGAATATTAAAAACCTGAATCAAAAGATCATTTTCCGTTAAACACAGAAGGGTACGTAGAGGTGCTATAAGGGATGTATTAACTTTGTATACAAGCTCTCTACCCGAATAACATTGTTCTGAGAATGCCCTGCATCCATGATTTCAGCAGGTTTGTGGAACAGACTTTACAGCATCTCTTTGGGTAGTTGCATCTCTCCTATTTTTTTGGGTAATCTCATCTCTTATTTTTCATTTCTTCTGGAGTAGCATACAAGCTCTGTGTGGTTGCTTTGGTGCCTTTGCTTTAGTTGAACTTTCCATTTCTATGGCCATGCTAGAGGGATGGCAAGCATAGGAGACACAGGAAGGAAGCATAAGGTGGTGTTGCTTCTATTTTTGTTTCTGTTGTAACAAGAAGAAAAAGTTTTACTTCTGCATCAGGATCCAACAGGGTATATATTTTTCTGTATGGACTTTTCTTCCTCTTTTAGAATTCCCTGATACTTAGATTTGGAGGGAACTTTAAAGATATCTGGGCTAATATTTTTATTACTGTGCAGAAAGAATTATTTTGGCAGCCAAGATAAAATGCATACTCATTTTCTCAGGAAATTTTTTGCTCCTGTTTATGGAGAGATGAAGTATGTCTCATTAATGAAATTAGTATATTTTGATCTGAACTCTAATGGGAGCTAATTTGATAGCTAGTGGCGGGGAGGTGACATGGCCGTTGTATATTGGGTGTATAATCTACATGGGAATAATGCTCTTTACATAATATACTTATGCATGTGATGGCAGGATGAAATATTAGTGTTCCATACTTTATATAGGAGTCATCTGATAGACTGTTTACGAAGAGGGGTAGGCATTTTCTAGCTGTAGTGTGGTGTGAGCTGCAGAACTTTTATATGTACAGAAACTATGGTATGGTGTTTTCATGTGAAAAAGGTGGGATTTTTGTAAAAATCAGGCATAATGGAATTACAGTCTCATAAGAGCTGTTTCCTGTGACTGCAAAACAGAACAACAGTAAATGAATAATTAAGAGGTAGTTCAGTTACTGCTTGTGCTCTTTGAAGGCTGAGAGCTACCATGTTACGTTTCAGGTTGTGCTGTGGTTTACGCTACTACATGGCTATTGCTTCCAAGGCAGTCATCTCAAAAAAACTTCTTCACCCTCATTTTGTGGCTTTTACTGGATCAAAATATCATCACCTCCCAAAGAGGTTCCTCTGGGAGCAGGTTTTGCTTTACTCATTTGTACTTCCTTTTTTTTCAGAGTTCATTAGTCCTTACTTGGGTAGCATTCCTATTCACCAAGAAAGGAATCGGAAGTGAGCGTACATTTCAAAACCTTAGTTTCACTGTGCTGTATACATTTTTTTGAATGCAACAGGTCTTCTCGTGGGAACATTAGATGCAGTGTTGGATTCTACATCGAAAGTCGCCCCATTTCGCATCCTACATCAGACACCAGACTCTCAAGTCTACTGGTCCATTGCATGCGGTATGTACTATGATTTAGAAGCTAACTGAGTTTGTAGTATGAAAAACAAGGTTACAAGGTATGGTATCCATTTTTGGGTTAATCACATAATTGTTCATTCTCGTGACGTCTAAATGGTTTAAAATCATTTGCAAACCTGAGAATGATGGTAGTGTGTGCTTCCAGTTTTTCAGAGTATATCTAAGGACTCTTCATGTTACAACTTCAGATACCTGCTCTCTAGAGCAGTCAAGTACTGAAGAACTGCCTTGGTGCTCTTTTAGGAGAATAGAGGCACCATCTTTTCTTCTGTAAGCTGCAAGTGTAATTTGGCACAGTTCAGGATGTGATAGGGATAAGTTGACCCTTGGGAGTACTAAGTGTGCTGTAGGTAGGAATAACAGAAGCTGCTTATGCTAATGTCTTTTTGTACTTTATCTTTGCTTGTTAAAATGAGCCAGGTTCCCAGTCATGGTAGGAGTTGAATTCCTACTCATATCTGTTGCTCTCGTAGTGCAAGAAGTTCTTTCTCTTTCTCGTGTTGTGTTATTATTCAGTAGGAAATGGAAAAGAAAATGGACCTTGAGAGTGGAGTGTGTGAGTTTCTCCTAGAGCATGCTTTTTGATAGTGTGCATGGGTTTATTTTGTTGTGGTTTTTTTTTTCTTTTTTTAAGTTTTGCAGCTTCTGCTAAAAATAAAATGTGAGTTCCTTTATACAGGCTGCTTAACTGCTGGGTGTCCAGAGACCTGCATTTCAACAGTTGAGAGGGCTTTTTTTGTTCTTTATATACATCATTGTTTTCTCTTCTGGAGCAAGGTCTTGTCTTTATATTGAAATTAATTAATATCGTCATGTCAATGTCAAGAGTCACTGTTGCGGAATTAATATATTTTTTAGGCTTATTTTTTAGTTAGCAGTGTTCTTTTACAGAAACAAGACTCCATCCGGACTTCTCCGGGCTATAGGCCTTCATTTTTAGTTGCCTGTGTCAAAAGATGAGCTTTGCAGAAAATCTACGGCTCTGCAAACATGTACATGCATGACACAACAGTTCCACTAACAAGTGCTATGCTGTTGTTACATTGGATTTTGCTGTTGTCACTTTATTATGAATCTTCATTGCTTCACCTTAAATGAAAAATCGTCCCCCTTGCTGTCTTTTCTATACAGTTAGCTACTTTCAAAGTACAGATTTGTTCTTTTAGATGTTTATTACTAGTTTACACATTTCATGCTGTAGTGTTAATCTGCTCCTCTTTACATTCTGCAAGGACCTCCCTGAAGGGCAGTAGTCAGTGGGAGAACTGTTTAATAGTGAGTTACTATAATTCATTACATGTCACTTTAAAAGGGCAACCTTATAAAGTTGATAGAAGTTGAACACTTTGTGAATCGACAGTAAATAAAATTTTAGGACTACTTCTGAAGAAGTCAGAACTGATGGTGACAGGCTATCAAAAACATACTTCGATAAGTATGTTGGAAATATACTCTGGGGAATTCTGATGCCATCAGGTCAGTGCTTGGGAAATCACAAAGTGTAATCTTCACCTTAGGACTGAATTTCTATCAATTCTATGCTGTGTAAGTATACTTTACAATGAAAGGCTATGTAATGTAGTTATGCTTTGTGTTAGAAAACAGGTTGTTCCTTCTGTTAAGTGAATAAATTGGAGAGAATACAGTTTGTTCCTGCTATTACATATTAAGAGTCTGAAACAGTGCTCCTAAATCATTTAAATATTTATAAAAAAGTTTCATCTTTGCTGTGTCACATCTGTGCCTCTGATGCACGTTGTGACTCAAATAATTGGTCTGCATGTGTAGTCTGAGAAAAATAATTAGTTTGTGATTTAATTGCTATGTTAATTACTCTTTATGTTAGAGTGTAGTGCAGTCTAACTATTTAGCCATATTTAGAACAATTTCTATTCATTCCCAAGGCAACGGTAACTGATTCTGTGGAGTCCACTGAAAATTGTTTAATTAGTCTTTGCAAAGTAAATTAGAAGAAAGAATTTGTAAAGGTGTGTTTTTGCTTAGGGATATTGGTAGTATGTGATTACACTGACTGATTTTATTTGTGAGCGTTCCTGTGGAGGATGAAACTGCAAATTAATTCACATTCTAGAATCCCTTTATTCGTCTCTAAGCAAGTGGAGGAAAAGAAGATTATCATGAGTAGTCAACATGGAATTGTTACTGTGGTGACGTACATTTAGATTTATTTTAATAAGGTGAACTAACAGTTAAGAATAAAGTTATAATTTAAGGATATTTACTAACTCAGGAAAAAATATTTGAATAGCAGCCAGTGTTGCAGATAAGGAACATCTCAAGGTTACAGACTTGCTCAACCAAGGACATCCACGGTGAGACTGTGAAATAAGGAGTTGGCAAGAAAACAAGAACTCTGGTGTCCTCAGGTGGCACATAACCAGAAGAGGACAAAATGAGTAGGGGTATTCTGCCACAAATGACCACCAGATACCCTGTGAGACACCCGCACAGGTGTAGAAGACTTTGCTTGCTCAGCACCATCAATATGTATTAGATAGGTAGAAGAATTGTGTTAGTTAGGTGGGGCTTTGTAACTTTTGTATATAAATGTCTGGTAAAGAATCCCAGGGGTGTGCTTGATTTGTGGAAATCTACCACCTCGCACCCTGCGCAGAATAAAACAACATCTTCTATCTGAACGTACTTTGTGTGTTTTGGGAGTTATTTTTGATTTTAGGCAACAGTTTCACCAAGGGGAAATCATGCTTGACTGGTGTGATAGCCTGCTATGATGGCACGACCAGCTGGGTAGATGAGGGGAGAGCAGTCGATGTTGCTTACCTTGACTTCAGCAAGGCTTTCGACAGTCTCGCATGACATCCTCATTGGGCACCCCAGGAAGCGTGGGCTAGATGAGTGGACAGTGAGGTGGATTGAGAACTGGCTGACTGGCAGAGCCCAGAGGGTTGTGGTCAGCGGCGCACAGTCTCGTTGGAGGCCTGTAGGTTATGGTGTTCCCCAGGGGTCAGTGCTGGGCCCAGTCTTGTTCAGACAGAGTGTACCCTCAGCAAGTTTACTGATGACACAAAATTGAGAGGAGTGATTAATACACCAGAAGGCTGCCCTGCCACCCAGCTAGATTTTTCTTTTTTTAAGTTTTGCAGCTTCTGCTAAAAATAAAATGTGAGTTCCTTTATACAGGCTGCTTAACTGCTGGGTGTCCAGAGACCTGCATTTCAACAGTTGAGAGGGCTTTTTTTGTTCTTTATATACATCATTGTTTTCTCTTCTGGAGCAAGGTCTTGTCTTTATATTGAAATTAATTAATATCGTCATGTCAATGTCAAGAGTCACTGTTGCGGAATTAATATATTTTTTAGGCTTATTTTTTAGTTAGCAGTGTTCTTTTACAGAAACAAGACTCCATCCGGACTTCTCCGGGCTATAGGCCTTCATTTTTAGTTGCCTGTGTCAAAAGATGAGCTTTGCAGAAAATCTACGGCTCTGCAAACATGTACATGCATGACACAACAGTTCCACTAACAAGTGCTATGCTGTTGTTACATTGGATTTTGCTGTTGTCACTTTATTATGAATCTTCATTGCTTCACCTTAAATGAAAAATCGTCCCCCTTGCTGTCTTTTCTATACAGTTAGCTACTTTCAAAGTACAGATTTGTTCTTTTAGATGTTTATTACTAGTTTACACATTTCATGCTGTAGTGTTAATCTGCTCCTCTTTACATTCTGCAAGGACCTCCCTGAAGGGCAGTAGTCAGTGGGAGAACTGTTTAATAGTGAGTTACTATAATTCATTACATGTCACTTTAAAAGGGCAACCTTATAAAGTTGATAGAAGTTGAACACTTTGTGAATCGACAGTAAATAAAATTTTAGGACTACTTCTGAAGAAGTCAGAACTGATGGTGACAGGCTATCAAAAACATACTTCGATAAGTATGTTGGAAATATACTCTGGGGAATTCTGATGCCATCAGGTCAGTGCTTGGGAAATCACAAAGTGTAATCTTCACCTTAGGACTGAATTTCTATCAATTCTATGCTGTGTAAGTATACTTTACAATGAAAGGCTATGTAATGTAGTTATGCTTTGTGTTAGAAAACAGGTTGTTCCTTCTGTTAAGTGAATAAATTGGAGAGAATACAGTTTGTTCCTGCTATTACATATTAAGAGTCTGAAACAGTGCTCCTAAATCATTTAAATATTTATAAAAAAGTTTCATCTTTGCTGTGTCACATCTGTGCCTCTGATGCACGTTGTGACTCAAATAATTGGTCTGCATGTGTAGTCTGAGAAAAATAATTAGTTTGTGATTTAATTGCTATGTTAATTACTCTTTATGTTAGAGTGTAGTGCAGTCTAACTATTTAGCCATATTTAGAACAATTTCTATTCATTCCCAAGGCAACGGTAACTGATTCTGTGGAGTCCACTGAAAATTGTTTAATTAGTCTTTGCAAAGTAAATTAGAAGAAAGAATTTGTAAAGGTGTGTTTTTGCTTAGGGATATTGGTAGTATGTGATTACACTGACTGATTTTATTTGTGAGCGTTCCTGTGGAGGATGAAACTGCAAATTAATTCACATTCTAGAATCCCTTTATTCGTCTCTAAGCAAGTGGAGGAAAAGAAGATTATCATGAGTAGTCAACATGGAATTGTTACTGTGGTGACGTACATTTAGATTTATTTTAATAAGGTGAACTAACAGTTAAGAATAAAGTTATAATTTAAGGATAGTTACTAACTCAGGAAAAAATATTTGAATAGCAGCCAGTGTTGCAGATAAGGAACATCTCAAGGTTACAGACTTGCTCAACCAAGGACATCCACGGTGAGACTGTGAAATAAGGAGTTGGCAAGAAAACAAGAACTCTGGTGTCCTCAGGTGGCACATAACCAGAAGAGGACAAAATGAGTAGGGGTATTCTGCCACAAATGACCACCAGATACCCTGTGAGACACCCGCACAGGTGTAGAAGACTTTGCTTGCTCAGCACCATCAATATGTATTAGATAGGTAGAAGAATTGTGTTAGTTAGGTGGGGCTTTGTAACTTTTGTATATAAATGTCTGGTAAAGAATCCCAGGGGTGTGCTTGATTTGTGGAAATCTACCACCTCGCACCCTGCGCAGAATAAAACAACATCTTCTATCTGAACGTACTTTGTGTGTTTTGGGAGTTATTTTTGATTTTAGGCAACAGTTTCACCAAGGGGAAATCATGCTTGACTGGTGTGATAGCCTGCTATGATGGCACGACCAGCTGGGTAGATGAGGGGAGAGCAGTCGATGTTGCTTACCTTGACTTCAGCAAGGCTTTCGACAGTCTCGCATGACATCCTCATTGGGAACCTCAGGAAGCGTGGGCTAGATGAGTGGACAGTGAGGTGGATTGAGAACTGGCTGACTGGCAGAGCCCAGAGGGTTGTGGTCAGCGGCGCACAGTCTCGTTGGAGGCCTGTAGGTTATGGTGTTCCCCAGGGGTCAGTGCTGGGCCCAGTCTTGTTCAGACAGAGTGTACCCTCAGCAAGTTTACTGATGACACAAAATTGAGAGGAGTGATTAATACACCAGAAGGCTGCCCTGCCACCCAGCTAGACGTGGACAGGCTGGAGAGTTGGGCGGAGAAGAACCTGATGAAGTTCAGCAAGGACAAGTGTAGGGTCCTGCACCTGGGGAGGAATGACCCCATGCACCAGTACAGGATGGAGCAGACCTGCTTGAAAGCAGCTCTGTGGAGAGGGATCTGGATGTCCTGATGGATGACAAGCTGACCATGAGCCCGCAGTGTGCCCTGGTTGCAAAGAAGGCCAGTGGTCTCTTGGGGTGTATTAAGAAGAGAGACTCTCCTCCCCCTCTACTCTGCCCTAGTGAGGCCCCATCTGCAGTACTGTGTCCAGTTCTGGGCTCCCCAGCTCAAGAAAGATGAGGAGCGACTGGAGAGAGTCCAGCAGAGGGCTACGAGGATGATGAGGGGACTGGAGCATCTGTCCTATGAGGAAAGGCTGAGGGAGCTGGGCTTGTTCAGCCTGAAGAAGAGAAGGCTGAGAGGGGAACTTACAAATGCCTATAAATATTTTAAGGATGGGTGTCAGGAGGATGGGGCCAGACTCTTTTCAGTGGTGCCCAGTGACAGGACAAGGGGCAACATGCGCAAACTGAAGGAGAGGAAGTTCCACCTGAACATGAGGAAGAACTTCTTTATGTTGAGGGTGACAGAACACTGGAACAAGCTGCCCAGAGGGGCTGTGGAGTGTCCTTGAATACGTGAAAAGAAGATGAATTATCATAAGCATTTTGAAATTGGCTTACCACATTTCTCTAATTATAAAAGTAGCTAGTGGGTAAGAGTGTTCCTTTGTATTTAAAGTAGGCCAGTAATCTAAGAGTAAGTCTGGACATTTCAGATGAGAGAGGCTTTTCTTTGCTAGAAAGTTGCACTGATATTCACCATAGTGAGCAGGTGATAGGTCTCTGAAACCTAGATCAAAAAGCAGTGTAAAGTAAATAAATAGCAAGGTTGGCTCCTAAGGTGTTTGAAAATGCAGTATTTATATTTTTGGAACACTGAATTTTATCTTGGCTCTAAGGTTTGTATATTACTTATGGAAGGTTTCTTAAGTTACTCCTTCTCTTGTACGTATGTAATGAAAGGAAAGAAAGCAGTCCTTATTCCTGTACGTTAGAGTCCCTGAGGGTCCAGAAGAAAAAAATACGAATTCTGGTGGTGCCAAACATTGTTTCAAGGATCATTCAGTTTGTATGAATCAGGAGTTCTGGTATGTGTTGTCCATAAGGGGTGTAGCTGTGCTTCTGTCCTCTGGTGGAACCCTGCAATTGCATGAAGGCAGTGCGTTGTTTGGAATTACAGCAGACGCAGAACTTTATTGTAGGTAGGATGACATTGCTTCCTGAACGGTGGTTGCCTAAGCTTTAGTGTGGTTAGAAATATAGTTGATAGAGAATGAGGTACAACCATAACCTGTAACGAGCACAAGCAAGTAGCAATTGATTGTTGTAAGCAGCATAAATGTTTGTTTTGTGGATCCTCAGAGAAATCTTTGCTACCTTCCTGGTTACGGTGATGTATGCTTTACATCCTTACGCTTGTTAGAAAGGATTTTGCACGGCAGGTCTTAGTCTTGGAGTTCTACTCTGGAAACTGATGTGGCCCAGTGATCACAGCTGAGGATATCAAAGGCCCAGATTTCATTTTCTTCTTAGTCTCATGAATTTTATCTCTCATTTCCTGTCTTCTAGAGTATTAGAGTGGGAGCGTTCTAGCGATGCTCTGCCATCTGTGTTGCGGAGGTACTGCTGAGCTGAAGGAACTGTCAGTCCAAGTCAGGATTCAGCACTGAGCCACACTGTGTTGACAAAGCTGAGATTCTTCTACATGTAAAGGCTAGAAATCTAGCTGCATAAAGGGCTTGAAAGATAAAAACACAGCTGTGCACATTTTTAATGTACACCAAATACATTTTTAGTGTACACAAAAGTGGGACAATAAATTTGAGACTTGTGATTTGGACGTGTGTATCTAAATTACTCTGTGAATCAGGAATTTGCAAAGTATTCCCTGGATTAATATTTTTAGTGAAATGATTAAAGCCTGTTCTAATTTTAAGCAACACTAACTTTCTCTTTCAATCAGGATCCAGCAGAGAAGAAATAACAGAACACTGGGACTGGTTAGAACACAATGTTATGAAGACTTTGTCAGTATTTGATTCAAATGAAGATATTACGAGCTTCGTCCAGGGAAAGATAAGAGTAAGTAACAGGTGCATGACTTAATTGGGAAAGGCTTTCCTCTAAACGTACATGAATAATATGTCCTCTTTAGAATATCAAAGGACAGCGTTGTAATGGTACATACTTCTGATTGAGTAGTAAGTGGCAGTTAACTTCAGCACACTCCATTGCTCCTGTTTATCTGCCCCACAGTTAAGTAAGGTTGTTTGACATAAACTCTTCCCGGTAAATGATATACTAGATGCCTTTAGAGAGTGGTCTATAAGCATTGATAGATTATTTCACAATAATTTTAATAATGCCTGGGAAGTACATGGTATATTTTTGTGAAGGTGCAACAGTTTGCTTCATATATGCAAAATATTTAGCCTGGGAATTCCTGTGATTAAGTGAGGAGAACGTATCTATTTTGGAAGAGGAGACCTGGGAATGTGTGTCTTGCCTTAGTTGTGTGGGAAGCTTGGTGGATGAGTCTGAAACAGGACATTTGATTTGTGACCTGTGTTGTAATCCTTAGACTATTCTTCCTGTTCTAAAACTTACTATCCTGTTAGGAGGAAGCTACGCCGTATGTATGCAGGTACATGTATGACACACCCACATGGGTGTAAAGTAACTGGCTCTCTTGTTTTAGGGCTTGATTGCCGAAGAGGGAAAAGGTTCTTTTGTAAAAGAAGAAGATCCTGAGAAGTTTCGTGAAGGTCTTATGAAGTTTGAAAAGTGTTTTGGACTACCAGAGCAAGAGAAATTGGTTACTTATTACTCGTGCAGTTATTGGAAGGGCAGAGTGCCCTGTCAAGGATGGCTTTATCTTAGTACCAACTTCCTTAGCTTTTACTCATTTTTGCTGGGAGCAGAAAGTAAGTAAGCCTTGGTACTAAGCCTAGTCCCTTCACATTTTACTGTTTAACTTCCAGCTTTGGAAGAATTCTTTCTATGTACTAAGGGAGCTGTTTTGCCATGTGAGCAGATGTCAACACAGAATAGGAAAAACTGCAAACATAAAATACTTTATGGAAGTGAATACATTTGTGTAACTTACTACGCAGTGTGCATTAGTTTTTTTCCTCTATGTGAGCTTCATAGAGAAGTCAGACCTGTTGCAGTTGACTGTAACTAAAAGTTGTCAACCATCTTTAGTTTGTGCTGCATATTAATTCAGTCTGTGAGGATTACAGTTATTGCTTCACACAGAGATGTAATCTTTCACATGGGCGCACTACACACTGTTGATAATTGCACATATCTTTTTTTCCCTGTGTAATATGTGTTTGAAATGCCCAAACAAATAGTGTGAGCTATAACTGTATTTATGTGAAAACTAGAAAAGAAAAAGAAAGTAGGATCTTTTCTAAGCTCTTTCTCATTTGTTGTGGGAAATGTCATAGCTAATGAGCCTGGTTCCTCTAAATGTCAATAAATGATCGATTTACTTTAAGAAGCCCTGTTGGTAAACTGTTCAAGTGGGGTAGCTTATAGGGTGGTGTGTGTTTGCGATTGGCGGTTTCACATGAGAGCAAAGAAAAGGTGATTTAAGCTTTTATTTTCATACATGGTGTGTCTTTAATGTTTTTTTTCTATAAAACTATTTGTAATGGAATTATTTTATAGGAATTGCAAAGAGATATTTTTTTGTTCTTGTGAGTTTGTAGCCCTTTCCAAGTGGGTTATCATTTAGCTGTATCGCCTAATTGTATGTCAGTAGTGCTGCTGACTACCATTTTCTTTTTTTAGTACGAGGGTAGCAGCTAATGAAAAGTTACTCACATCTGCTTATATTTGTATTTTTAGTAAAACTTACTATCTCCTGGGATGAAATATCAAAACTTGAGAAGACTTCCAACGTGATTCTGACAGAGAGCATTCATGTGTGCTCTCGTGGGGAAGATCACTATTTTTCCATGTTTTTGCACATTAGTGAAACGTTCCTTCTCATGGAGCAGCTGGCAAACTATGCTGTTAGGAGACTTTTTGACAAGGAGACATTTGAAAATGACCTAGTCCTTCATGACCCACTGCAGATCACCAAGAGGTAATATATTACTTCGAGTCTATTTGCTCTGGGTTTAGTACTCTTTTTAGGCAAAGGAGAAGAGAATCCTTGTCTCAAGGGGGTATATAAATGTCAGAAAAGCTGGTGTTCTCTTAAACAAGTGTCGCGTTAATATTTGGGATCAAAGTAATGTGAGGCATTGAAATTTATTGTTATTTTTCAATATCAGAAGTCTACATGAAGGCAGGAAATGATCAAACCTTCAGAGCTGGTCTTGAACTATAGGGTTTATAGTACTGAATTTTTAAAAGGCATTATAGTAGCATTTAGGATTAGAAAATTAAGAATGAAGCTGCAGTGTCTCCAAAGAGACCTGATGAGGAAGGATAAGGTGGAGAACAAATCATGTAATAAATGTGTAAATAGTAACTGCATGGCTTTTCTGCCACTGGATGATGGGTGATAAGATCAATGAACTGCAGATGGGGGCATGGCTTTCCCTATTTACGACAGTGTTTTAGGCAGTGGGAAAGATGTGTATGTAAGTAACTTGATGGTTAGGGTCCTTCTCAAGGAAGGGGTGTGATTATTCCTTGTAGTAATTTTGTGGTTTCTCTTCAGTTCTGGTTTATGTTGAAACAAATGTTGTCTTTTCCTCTGAGAGCTGTCCAAATTCTGTTTAGATTTTGATCTGTGGACCACAGCTATTTACTGTGAAAAGTAACCAAGAAAAGCAAGTCTATTGTTAGGTAATTTAAATTCACATGAAGGGACTAAATCTTTGTTGGAAAATGTTACCTATCTGCAAATCAGAAATTACATAAAGCATTTTTCTAAGAATTGTTCCTACTTAAGGCTCCATGCACTATGATTTAAGGAAAAAGAAAGCTATTTAGTTTTGTAGTACACAGATAATAAAACCTGGTTTAGGTTGTATTTTCTGGGTAATCGATTCCTCAGTTTGGTAGCAATGCCGCAAAGGGATGTTTCTCTACAACCAAAACATTGTTTCTGGTTGCAGTTACCTGTGAAGAATTAGCGTGTGGCAGATGCTTACAACATGTGCTATGTTTCTTCTGCCAAGCCAAAACTTGTTTTAGGTTTAAATGGACTGTTCAGATGGATGGGGAAGCTGAGCAGATTAGGCTATTCGCATGCTTTCCTCCACTACCTGTAGGCCCTGATTCAGCAAAGTGCTTTACTGTGTAAAAACATGCTTGAACATGATTCCTGTTTAGTGAAGTATTGAAGTATTTTGTTAAGTGGGTGTATATAGACAAGTGTGGTCCTGCCCTTTTTTGCCTCTTCAAGCAAAACATGGAACCCTCCAGACTGACCCCATGAATGATGGGAGAGCGTGACGTTTTACTGTCTTTTCCCCAAGGTATTTTTAGCTTTTGTATTTATAAAGGCATTTTAAACTTATTTAATTGTTCTTTTCTCTCTCCTACCCTGTTTTTTGTTTTGTTTTTAACCTAGAGGCCTAGAGAGCCGTGCCCACAGTGAGCAGTTTAGTGCGTTCTTCAGGCTACCCAAAGAAGAGAGCTTGAAAGAAGTTCATGAGTGCTTCTTATGGGTTCCTTTCAGTCATTACAACACCCATGGGAAAATGTGCGTTTCAGAAAACTACATCTGCTTTGCTAGCCAGGATGGCAGCCTGTGCAGTGTAATCATTCCATTAAGAGAGGTAATGCAAAGTACAAGTCAGGAACAGTTATACCAGAAGTTTTGCACTTGTACAGTTTAATGCCAGTTTAGCAGATTTTCATTAGAATCTGCTTACTTTACATGGTGTCATACCTTTCCCCCTACCTTGGATACCACATGTAGGATTTCTGAACAGCTTTTGTGTTTCAGCTTTGTTCTCTGTGTCCTCTTAATGTTTTCTATTTGCCTTGGTTTCTGTACCTGGGTACAGAATCCAATTTTTTTAATACTTCTTTTTTTTTTAAATGAAAAAGCTTATGCTTAATTCTTGAAGATGAGTTAATGAGAGATTCTCAAGATAGATAAAAAGCAAAGAATTGGAGAAGATAGAGGATCTTGAAGGTTAGTAATCACTCTGCCGTGTTTCTTTCTTAGCTCAGTAGTGCAGTTCTTTTTGCAGCAGTTGAGCAGTGCTGTCTGTTCAAAGGTCTGTAGGAAAATCCACTGACAGCCAGCAGTGTATTAAGTGTATCAAGTATTGATGCTATTGCAGCTGATAGTTTCAACAGACTGAATAAAGACCATATTGTAAAGGACACAGCATTCATATTTCTGTAGAGCACTATGGGTAGACTGTGGAATAACTTCTGGAAAAAATCAACCCTGCTACATCCCTCTCTTGACTTCGTGTGATCTGGAACATGGCCACATTGCAGTCTTCCAGTGTTAAAAGCTTTTCATCAGCAGCCAGACATATTTCACAATAGCCTAAAAATTAACCAGGTTCTGTAATTGCTCGATAATTGCTCTGCGTACTATGTGTACATACTGCCTGACATAAGACACCTGACATAGGGGTGTGAGCTGAGCTAATTTCAGCAATACACTTGGTGTTCCCCATCCAGATAAAGCAATTTATTTGATTGTGTATAAATAGTCCTGCCAACAATAGAGACTTCCAGAACCCGAGAAGAACGAGAAGAGGATATATTGAAGGAGCTGACTCTAAATTTATTCTTGTGGATTGTCAGGCCCTCAGTATTTGTTCTATGGTACTGCAGAGTAATTTTTTCAGCAGTCTTTCGTTCTTTACCTATAACAATGTAAAAACACCAGCAATGGCAGTCAGTCTAGCTATTCAGAATGTCTCACTTGTACTTTATTAAAGTGTATTAACTGCTCTAATCTGTAACTGTTCCATCATGGCAATTAAAATCAGCTCCAGCTGTCATGTGTTATGACAGCTGTCTTTGAAAGGGTGTTCTCAGTGGAAATTGATTCTTGTGGAACTGGTTTCATTTGATTAGTTGCAAGAGCCATGTTTTGTCTCCTTTCGGATGGTAAGAAAAAAAGCAACAGCTTCAGCAGGTAGAAGGAGGCAAGATTTACAAATAAACTTAGCACTCACAGCCAGGAAAACCTTTTTGAAGATTTTTGGTACTCTGTGGAAAATCTGTCGCATGGTACTTAGCACTTTGTGCTAAAATAGCTCCAGACCACTGAGTTTTAGTGTAATGAGTTTGTTACTTGCGTTACTAATTCCGCTTGAGTGGTGCTGCAAACTACTGTTTCATGTACACATGTATTTTTAACAGTTTTTCTTTTTTAGAAGTAAGCTGGTAGAATTTGTTGCCTAATTTATTTATGTATCCTTGCTTCTGTAGGTCACAGGGGTGGATAAGGCAGACCCAGCCAACAGAGGAGTCAGCATCAGTACCAAAGGAAAAACAGCTTTTCGTTTCACAGAGGTTAGAGATTTCGAACAGCTTGTGGCAAAGCTCAGAGTGAAATGCAATGCAGCTTCAAGTCCACAACACATCATAAATACAGAGGTAACTGCTCTGCTAATTCGAATTTCTTAGTACCTGTCCTCTGAATAAGGTGGTGTCATCTTATGAGTTTATGTATCGTTGTCAGGGTTTTGCTGTGTAATGCAATACAGTTATATTTAAGCCTGAGTCTAGACACAAGATGGGTAACAATGTCTGCTGTACTTCTAGATATCAAGTTGTCTAAATCTTTTTTTTCTTTTAAAATAATTTTCCTATATCTTGCCTTCAGACCCTTCAGATTAAAACAGAAGTCCAGCAGTCTGATGGAAAATTATGTGTAGCTATGTCAGTTTTTGCCAGCTGACTTTTTGACTCAGGAAGTTAATGGAATGGTTGTAAGGTTGTTTCTAGATGTGATGAAATCTGTATGTGTAGTTTCATGCATGAGAAATGAGAAAGCAATGACAAAACATCCCTAACAAGCATTACTTACTATAGTTGCTGTGTCTATTCCCTGAAGATTTTCCCCTGAAAAAAAATTAAATAGAATCAGCTGGAGTAGCCTCTAAAGTGACAGTTGTAAGAGTGGAGAAGTGTACAAATAAATGCCTTTTGGCAGAAAATGATCAGTGTATCGGCAAAATCTCTAACTTTAGAATTAGATTCTTAAGGGTTAAAAGGCAAAAATGAGTAATAAAAGTGAGATACTTTGATATCAGCAAAAATGCTTAGCCGATAAGGGTACAGCACAGCTCTGGGAGACCAGAGCGGTGAGATCTCCTGCTCAAGGGCATTCCCTTTTAAATTACCTTATTATGGGTTATATCTGCATTATTTTGACATATCATGCTAAGTAATGTACCTCTGGTTTTAAGGTATGGAAAAATAAGTAACTGTGCCTATGTGAAAGAGAAAGTGTTAAAGAATGGTGCTACTGTGAATGCATTGTGTTTTGGGTTCTTTCACTTTATTTTCCATCAGGTTTTGAAAAACAATCCATATTCTAATACTGTTTTTTAAATGCTCTCAGCATTTCTCTAGTTCAGTATATGGCTCCGTTTAAGGTTTTTCTTTTTACTTCAGTGGTGATGGATGGTCAGGCCTCCCTATCTATTGCCGTTCTCATTATGAATATTAAGTTTTTGGCTACAGAGATGAATTTTTTTTCAAGTGCAGCCTCCTGAAAGCCCATTTGTGCAGAGCAGTGATTGCTGTTTTTCATTTATTTTTGAAGTCTGTGCCTTGTACCTGTAATTTAATATACTAAACAATGGTGGTCTAGAAGCAAAACGGTCCCTGGTATCAGTGCTGCTTCTTCAAGGATTGTTTGGCTTTTACAACTGTCACTGTTAAATTTTTTTTCAAGGTGGCAGCTGGTTCTGCCTCTGACAGTCCAAAGGATTTTGATGAGGAACCATCAAAGATGGGTCAGAGAGAGAACAGCAAAACTGTCAGTACAGAAGCCTTAATGACTGTTTACCATCCTCAGGATGCTGAGAATCTTGACTCCAAAATGGTAAGGGATAAAATGGCCAATGGTTTTTGGAATCTAATTGGAAAGGACTGAAGTATATTCAAAATGTGTTCTGGCAAGGCTGCTAATTTCCTCTGGGGCTTTGCCAATCTTCTTTCATCTGCATTTTCTGTATTTGGGGTCCACAGGGTGCTTCTTCATGGCTCCGTCCAATTTCCTGCTCATCTTGTTTAATAATGATACGCCTTATCTTCATGGAGCTAATTCCTCCTGCTCTTCCACCCCTCAGGGAAGAGTTGGCTGTTTGTGACATGATGTGAACATGTTTCATAGCTATCTGAATTGTCAAGTTACAAAGTCACTACAAACTCTTCGGGGGCGAGGAGAATGTTATCAAGAAATTGACAATCTTTTCCTTGCTTCATGCTTTTGCACTTCTGTCTTAACAAAGTTATGCTCTGGAGAATGTTTCTTTAATTGTTTTTGCACTAGGACATCCTATTTTTGCTTCTCCATAGTGTGTGCAAGAAAATTGATAAGTTTCAATTTAAAATTTAAGTCTTTCAGCATAACTTGGTAAATTAAGATATGGAAATTTGAGATTAGAAATACCAGAAAATGAACACCCTTTGCACAGGAGAAAAGTGGATCCAGATTTTTAAGTTCTACTTTTTATAGTATGTTGAGCAAAAGTAGACAAAATCTGCTTTTCCTTTTGGCACCTTTAGTTACTTAACAATGTTAAACCTTACTGCTGCATGTACAGAAAATGTGGTGGCACTGTTCACCCTGTCTCTCAGGAGTTGGAGTGCCTGATCATCCGTTGCTTTGCTTCAGGGAAATGGAATTGCGTTTTAGGTGTATAATCAATTGTTTGTTAGTAATCTTGTGCTTTACAAAGGATCTATTTCACTGCTTCTGCTATCTCTGCCTCCTTCTACTCTGCAGGTGAAATGCCTGTAACTCCAGTTTTGTCTGAATAGGAGTTATTTCCAGTTTTCGTTCTGTGAAGCAGGTTTTACTTACATGGCCGGTCCTACTGAAGTTCAGATTAATACACTGTTATCTTCTGTGTTGATAGAAATTGGTTGTTTCTAAAATCTTTCTATCAGATTGATAGATGTTTGATTAAATGTAAAACCTATCTGGGTAGAAGTGTTTTCAGCTGTTAGTTCCCATCCTTAATCCAACTAGACTTCATACTCCTGCAAATTCTCCTTATTATTGATTCTCTCCTAGTGCTATTTGGAGTTCATGTAAATAAACTGCAGAAAGATGAAGAAACTGTGGGAGAATAATGACACTGATGTCATGCCATCCCTCTGTGTGCTTTCCACCATTCGTAGCCATGCTGTTCCAAATCTGTCAACTAGTATAAAGCAGCAAAGCGTGATGAATCAAAAAAAGGAAGGAACCTGTTTTGCCTGTTGAGTTTCTGTGGGATATCATTTCATCTGTAACAGTTGATACATTTTTATTGCTGTTAGAAAAGAAGAGTTCATAGATATGTTGAAGTCAAAGTATGTTAATTTATCAGAGTAATTAAGCAAGTGTCTGTGACATTGAGTTGACTTGGCAAATAATCACTTGCTTGATTTCAATGCGCCATCATGGCCAAATACTTTTTCTCATAGTTTGTTTGTTAGAGCTCTTGAATTAGCACAGAGAAACCTGCCACCACACGTAAGAAGTCTGATCCTTGCCTTCACCCTATTTTTCCTGGTTGTCTTTTCTACTGCTTTCATTCAATTTAATCTTTTTTCCTTGTTCTATTCGTTTACCCTTTACCAAGAAAATACTACGCTGTTTATCACAAAGCAGCAAGAAAAAATGGGATATTTTAAAATTGGCCCGTTACAATAAGCAGATTTGATTGTATGTATGTATGTATCACACAAACATATATATATTTTTTACATGGAAATAGCTGGAAAAGAATTTTAGAAGAGGAAGTTTTAATGTACCTCTAAATTTTTGCCATAGAAATTATATCAAATATCGAATTTTCTTACTCATTCTGCTGGCAGTGCATTTTTGGAACGCCTCAGGAGAACTATGATGGCAGAATTTTCCTGCACAGTTGCACCTTGCAGTGGTTAGCTCTTTTACTGCTCTACCACTGTTCATTCGCTCCCTTTAGATCCCTAGTACTTCATGGTCCTTTGATAATATTGTAGGTTTTGCCGATGTTGTGTCAAAGTTGCAAATGGTTCAATCTAAAGGTAACAAATAGGGCTGTTTACCTATTGATTTTTTTTAACAAGTTTAGCAGAATAGTGAGCAATAAAACATAACAAATAGATGGTGATGACTTCAGCTAAAGTGAAAATCCAGCTTGCGTACAGTTATTGCTGTTTACGAGTTGGAATCGTTCTCAAGTGGGAAGTAAGGAAAAAGTTGAACTTAGGAGTGGCTTGAAAAAGGTGGAAGAGAGTGATTGTTTGCTGTCTTAATATAGCACCAGGGGGGCTTCAGGTGAACTTAGAAGGTGGCAGGTTTGTCTGGGCTCAGAAAGCAATTTGCAAGGAAAGGTCTGCTGTATATTGTTAAATCGAGAGAGATTGCCTCTGCTGAGGAGGTGCCTCTGCTTTTATTTGCTGGAGGACAGAGGAGGATTTTGCAGGTGTTTGCGTAACCTTACTGTCCTGTGGCACTTGCTGTTGGTGTCTGTCAGATGGGGTGCTGGCTGAGATTTGCTTTTTGTCTGATCTGGTATAGACATTCTTGTAGTAATATACTTTAAAGAATAGTAGGTCATGTAGCAGATGGCATTGTATGCCAAACTTATACTATGCACAGGTTAGATTTTGCTCTGGTTTGCACCAGCATTTATTTCATGTATCAATATGGACGCCAATGCTGTCATTTCCAGTTTGTATGGATATAACTGAGAGCAAAATTTGGTTCTGGTCTCTGAAATGTGAAGAACATCTTCCAATATACTTAATGCTTGTCATCATCTACTTTTCATAGCTGAAAGAAAAAATGAAAGAACAGTCCTGGAACATCCTCTTTGTTGAACGGGGACATGGTGTCAGTATGTTTCGAACAAAGAAGACTCGAGACCTAGTTGTAAGAGGGATCCCGGAGGCGTTAAGAGGAGAGCTCTGGCTACTCTTCTCAGGTATTGCATAGCAAGTATGATAGATTCGTTTTGTGGACTCTGCTGTATGCCTGTTCTAGTTACTGACTGAATATAGTCTGACAGAAAATGCTCTTGCCTCTGGTAATTTTTCCAAATCTTTCTGCAGAAAAAGACCTCTAAATGATGAACAGAATAATTTTGTCTATTATTTTGTTTTGCATTGATTCAAACTAAACCTGCATCTGCTTCTTTTACAACAATCTCAACTGGAAAATAACCATAAGAATACAATACATAAGAATGCTGTTCCAGGAGACAATCCGTTTCAGCAAAGCCTCTTTACTTCCTAGAAAGAAAAGCACATTTGTGGGACTGTGTTACAATTGTGTTGATTTAAACTTTCTGAGAGGATGGTGTTACCAGACACAAAAGAAAATGTTTTCCTGGCAGAGAGTTTGGCCCCAGTTATCGGCAGCTCTTTGCTATATGCTGCTGCTTGATTTAAAGAGTGAGATGTACAGGAATTGTGGACTTTCTTACACGCATGGGAGTTCTTCCCAAAGCTCTGCGTGTGCCTTTGTGGCTTTCTTCTGTGGAAAACAGCAGTGTCAGAGCATTTCACTTGGGGGAATGGAGGCCCAGGGAATTCCGACACTGCTTTACAACACCTCTGTGTGCTTTCTGTTCCCGTTCACTGAAACACTGAGAAAAGCAGCAGCCACTGACTGCATCAGGGTCGCACAGTAAGCCTGTGTCAGCAGCAAACAAGCTGCAGATTTTGAGGAGCCACCCAGGACCTTAGCTGCTAGCTGTACTCGGTGTTCCCCTGGGCAGAGCTTTCTGCTGTTCCAGAGGATTGGTTTATCCTAGCAAGTGGCTTTTATACTCTTCATTCAGCCTACTGTATGATAGTTATGCTTTTGAGGACATGTGAACATGGATTTATCCTTGCTAGTTTGCTTTGGGCAGTTACATAGGCACTTATCCTTCTGTTACCAGACCAGTATCTCTGTCTTGGAAGGTGTTGATGTAAAAGTTACGGAATTAGGTTAATATCAGTCCTTTGCCTAGCTCTTCTAATCTGTCCCCAGCTCTGCGAACAGAAGGGTATTGTATTTTGTTTGCCAGAAAACTTGGGCAAAATTGTAGATGAAAGGAAGCTGTCCCCACATTCCCCCCCCCAAAACAAAAAAGTAAGTCAGAATCAACTTTTTAATGGAAAGTGACTTAGATTTTCTCCAAGCCTTATTTTATTTTGCGTTCCTGTTTCCATTTCAGAGTAATTCCATTTATTTAAGTAGAATTACTGTGATACGTTACTGCAGTAACATCTGGAGATTCATGAGGTACCTCAGTAGTCACTAAATCTTTTTATAGAAATTGCAGACAATCATGTAGATGCTTACCGTTGTCCTCTAATACTGTGCAATACAATGTATTGGCAGGTGCTGTAAATGATATGGCATCCAGCCCTGGTTATTACACTGACTTGGTGGAAAAGTCCTTAGGAACATGCACTTTAGCTACTGATGAAATTGAACGAGATTTGCGTCGCTCCTTACCTGAGCATCCTGCTTTTCAAAGTGACACAGGAATTTCTGCACTCAGGAGAGTTCTTACGGCTTATGCATACAGGAATCCCCAAATTGGATATTGTCAGGTACGGCAGTTTTGAGACTCTTAGTGCTGGTTGTCTAAATATTAGCTCATGATGGCAGTATAGTGGCACCTCATAAAATCAGTCACATAAATATGTAATGGTTTCTTGCTCAGTGGTTCACTTACTTTGCTTATTTCATCCCACTATGTAACAAGAGTTTTTGCATTGTGCTTGAATTTGTTGATAAATTGTCATGTCCACTTCATATATGCCTTTGCATTCTTACTAGACTTTTAGCACTTAAAAATATTTTTATGTAGTGGAAATACTATGCTCTGTGTTTAATAATATAGAGGTAAATGTCTTATCCTGGATATGGCTGTAGGTTATCCTAGCACTCTAAAAACGTGCTGTAAAGTATTTTCAGAAATAGAAATTTTAACAAATGACAACAGTTGCATTTTCACTATCTTTCCTCATGAATGCTTCCTTTTCTGTTTAAATGTTACAGGCAATGAATATTTTGACATCAGTACTTCTGCTGTATGCTAAAGAGGAGGAAGCATTCTGGCTTTTGGTTGCTGTGTGTGAAAGGATGCTACCTGATTATTTCAATCGTCGAATCATTGGTAACATCCATCTGTCTTTTTACCTGTCTAGAATTGAATATAAATGGTCATTCATTAAGAACAAATGTAAGGAATGAGCTGAAGGCTGAACAGTGGCGAGAAAAGGTTGCATTTGGTTCAGTGTTGTGAGGTAGAAAATGAAAGTTACAGAGAACGTCTCAAGACTCCTCCTTAAGCAGGAGTGGTTATGGTTTTCAACCACTGTCGTTACTGTAGGTGTAGCTACTCAGGAAGCAGTCAGGTAGACGATTATACTGTTCTTCTGGAGTTATAAGTGCAATTCATGCTGTTTATTTGAAATCTAGCTTAAATAAAGGAAAAATAAAGGCAAAACAGTTACTGCAGTTCAGACTTACTCTTTGATCTCGTACTCAGTACTTGTAGGTGTATACGCTAGAAGAAAATTGGACATAATTGCAGAGAGTGTGTGTTGGCTGTCAGGAGAGTCACTGGAAGTAGCTACGCACCCACAAAAGTGCTGACACGCTTTACAGCATGCAGTAAGGCTCTGGACCCATGCACCGAGTGCATTGCTTCCAGTGTAGAGAACGAAGCCAATGGTGCCAAGCAGCTAGGCCTGTGTTTGCTTTTACAACAAAGTTGCACTAGGGCAGGGGCTTTATTTCTCATACTCTGAGAAAAGTATGCTTCTCTGTATTAAGATTTGGGTGGTGGTTTTGTTATCCTTTCCCTGCAGGTGCCTTGGTAGATCAGGCAGTGTTTGAGGAGCTCATCAGGGTTCATCTGCCCCAGTTGACAGACCACATGACGGACATGACTTTTTTCTCCTCGGTCTCTCTCTCCTGGTTCCTTACCCTTTTTATCAGTGTGCTGCCTATTGAAAGTGCAGTCAATGTGGTGGACTGTTTCTTCTATGATGGAATAAAGGCAATCTTGCAGCTGGGTCTCGCAGTGCTGGAATACAACATGGAGAAGTTGCTGACTTGTAAGGATGATGCAGAAGCAGTCACTGTTCTCAACAGGTATCGGTGTAACTGTTATTCTTATGGGCTGCGTAGCAGCTACTATAATTGCAAATATACAAGTCATTCTGGGGCAGCTGAGAGAAGACATCTGGCCATGGCTTCTAAAGGCTTCAGAGGAATTAAGCGTTCATCTTGGGCTAAAATTCTGGAAGGGGTGGCTGTAAAGTGTGCCTGGATCCTCTGCGAATCGCATCCTCCATTAAAATTCTTCTAAAACCATTGCCATTTTGTGTATTTTAAAGTAAAAGCAATGTGGGTTTTGCCTGGAATTTCTGTCACTTGGAGAAGGTGATTTTCCTTAATGAGGAGGTAATCTAGAGCACACTAAGACTGTTCCAAACAGTTTGGGCACCAACTTACTGATGACATAGTCTACAGCTCACTTCTTGCAGTTTAGGCTACTGGCTCCTCTGCTGCTAATGGCTTAAAATACGAGGAAGACTAAAAAAATGCAGTGTGGACAATCATGACCAGATATTTGTTCTATAGTAGCATTTGAAGAATAAATTCAAATATGCAACATAAAGTGCATTTTAAACTGATGTATTGTGAGCAAAACTTGCAGTTTTTTCTTTGCTACCTACCTAAATTCTGTTATTACTGCTGTGATTGTGTATCATGGAGTATTAAAAGAGCAAAATGACTGTGCTATAGGAGTCACCAAGTTATGACTGTTAAGAACTTATAATAAGAATTTCCTCTTAGGGAGACTTCTAAATGTTGCATATTTGAATAGGGTATGAGCTACAGAATTAATGAGGAAAATGTAATTTTTATCATAAGAGACCATGCAGCATGGTATTTATTGTAAAACCTAGCTGTACTCATTTAAATATTTAAAACTTAAAAAAACTAACAGTAAGAACACGTTTACGTGGTTTAAATGTATTAAAATTTAAAATGTAGAAGTGTGGTGAAATTTTAATTTTCACTTGAACCAAACAAACTGCCGTTTCCACTTGACATCAAAGATTTTGATGATTATTACGAACTCCTATTGAACTCTTGCTTTCAACATTTTATCTGGCTGTAACACTTCTGTGGCAGTTATTCCAGCCTGCTGCATAATGGTATATTTAAAAAATTATCACAGTAGTTTGCCTCTGCTCAAGAAGAAGAAAGCTCTCGGTCTGTAGCTATGCGTTCCTCGATGTTGGCGAAGGAGTTGGCCAGCCTCCATCATGGATCTGTTTAGGCTGGTTATGTAGGTATGATGAATAGGCTTGGATCAGGCATGCCTTGCCTTATGCATCTGAGGGAATTAAGATTGCCTCGACCCCCGTTCAGCACAAGCCTCTTTTCCTCTCTCCCAGTTATGTAGTACAGCCTTGCTAGATGCTTAGAGAACCAGGGGAATGCTGAGTGGAAGGGACTTTGGCAAGTCTCTAGTCTAACTTCCCATTCGAAAGAAGATTACTGCTAGCACTGGATCACATCAGCCATGTTATTGTCTAGCTGGGTCTTAAAAACTCCAAGGCTAGAAGCTCTACAAACTTCTCTGGGGTAGCCAATTCCCATGTTTGTTATCGTTGTTACTATTACAGCACATTTGTGCTACTCATGCTGATACTCTTTGCTATTTCGCATTCTCTGTGCACTTTTTCTTCCGTAGATGAGGTTTTTTGAGAGTGTCACTAACAAAGACAGTCCTTTGCCTCCAGCTGTGCAGCAGGGCTCCAACCTCAGCGATGCAAAGAGTGACCATCCAAAAGTGGACATTACTGATTTGATCCGAGAGTCAAATGAAGTATGTGTTCTTGTGGGTATGTTTTCGCATCCTGTGCAGTATTTATGTTGCATGGGCTACCTGAAAAATAGTGCAGCTGCACTGTACAAACTAGAGTAGAAAATCTGTCTAGATTGGTAGAAATCGGGCTCTGTATTTTGTTCACCCTCATTGAAAATCTCATCGGTTATGGAACAGGTTTGGTTTTATATTGTTTTGGGTTTTTTTAACTGCCTGGAATGTGCTTGCTAGGCTGTACTGCGAGGAGTTCCCTAGATTCATCACAGGTCATGTATTGCCATCCTTCGCTCACTTTATTAGTATGACAACTAAATGACAAAGTGCAGCAGAAACGGCCCTTGCATTTGACGTTACAACCTGTGCAGGAAACTGTGCTCCAGTTGTATGGGTTAAATGACTGTTTAGAGATGTGCTGGGTGAAGAAGACCCATTACAATCTTTTAGCACTTTCTTTCAATTTGCTTTCTTTCAATCAAGTTTGATTTCTGCAGCATCTAGCTTTACATGTCTGCACGGGGGAGGAAGTAGGTCTAGCTTCTCCTTCTCCTTTTGTCCTCAGATTTTCATCGGGCATTTCCTTCTTTGGCATGATCTGTTTGAGGCTACGAATCCATTTGTAGATAGGTTTCTGCTCAGCCCTCCTGAAGTGAAAAGCTAGCAGAGAGAAAAAATTTGTTTACATTTTTTTTTTCTATTATCTGGTTTCTTTTATCTGTATGATACTTTTTTTTTTTTCTTTTCTGATTCTCAGTCATATGTTTCTAGTGAAAGATCCACAATACATCTCTTCTGGAAAAATGTCCTGTCCTTGACTCAGAAAAAATTTACTAACTGTAATTTGTAGAATTTAGAAACTGTCTCTTTTGATTTTTGCTGAGAAGAGGGCTTTGCCTTTAGTGGGGTGAACAAAGACAAGAATCAGAAATTCAAGTTCTCTTGAAGTGTCTTTATAGCATTGGGCTGATCATACAAAAAGTCTGTTCTTCTGCTATCAGTATTGTTTCACAAGAATGTTATACTGAAGAATCATGTTTTTAGAACACTTCAAAATTCTTGTAAGAAGAGTTGCAAACTTACAGGTCTTTCTTATCATGGTGAAGATCTCATAGTGAGGATGAATACTTGCAGAATAAAGAGCAGAGATGGTAAATAATGAAGTGCTGTATATTGCATTTTGAAGTGTAAGCTGAAGCTTTCACAGAGATGGAATCATTGCTGAAAGACAAAGCAAAAGGAACTCTCTTTCTTCTTCCCCTGCCTTTGCAGGTGGGTGACTGGACCAAAGCCAGTAGCCTCTGATTTGGTATGGCTTTTAAACATTGATTTCAGCAGATCCTTGAACCCGAATCTCCCACCCTGTTCCTAGGCCTGTATACCCATTTCTATCTCTCTCTATTTTTGGATGCAAATTTTTATCTTCAGCTGAAAACGAATTTCTTCAATGCTAAGTGTCACAATCCATTGTTTGAGAACTGCTGATACAAAGTGAGAGTCAATTTCCTGCTTCCCGTTTTGCCCAGACAGTTAATTGCAACACAGTTATTTCATTTTCATATCACTGTGGAAATAAAATAAATTTCAAAATGGGAAGATTGCTGCAATGGAGAATTGTCATTCTGCAGATAGGTCTAGTTACAAATCATAAATAAGGGAACAGAGATGTTCTTTGTGTTACTGTTGCTTTGCGTGGGTGTTCATGAGATAAATGAGATGAAGTGAAAAGATATGAAGTTGAATTTTAAAATGAGGTTCAGTTTCTTGCCTTTATGACTCAGGCACAAGTGCAAGACTCATTCTTTGGCAGTCTGATCAGGTATGAAGAAGTCATGTTTAACTAGTGAATGGAAGAACGTGTAACATTCTGTCACATCACACTAATTTAGAGTTTATCTTGTTTATATTCTTACTGAGGCCATTGCACAATATCAGTGCCCAGAAGCCAGACCAGTGATTGAGTTATGATTCAGAGATGCAATTTCTCTCTGCTTCCTCTTTGTTCCAAGTCAGAAGTATGGTAGTGGTCTTCACAGGAACGTAGAAATACAGTTCTGGAAAAGAACTCCACAGGTCATCCAGTTCAGCTCCCTGTTCACCATACACCCAGATCACCGTTGAAACATGTCTAATGTTGTTAAAACTCTTCAACAAAAGAGCATCTGCAAAAACTAGCCCATTGTAGGGTTTCTCTGCCCTTGTCAGAATAAATCCTGATATCCATTATGGTTCCTCTGGAATGCTCATAAAGCGCTGTTGAGGATAGCCAATTGCAGTTTTCTCTGCAATTCCTTGTTGCTATTAGGTTGTTGTTGTTCATCACTTACCATTTCAAGTCTGATCTTTTCTTTATGTATATTCAACACAAACACTTCTTCTAACCTTTCCTCAAAGCTTATGCGCTCAGACTCTATGACTTTTTAGGACATGGAGTTGCTGGAGCGTGTCCAGAGAAGAGCAATGAAGCTGGCGAATGGTGTGGCGAACAAGTCTCATGAGGAGCAGCTGGGGGAACTGGGGTTGTTTGGTCTGGAGAAGAGGAGGCTGAGGGGAGACCTTATTGCTCTCTACAACTACCTGAAAGGAGGTTGTAGTGAGGCGGGGGTTGGTCTCTTCTCCCAGGTAACTAAGGAGAGGATGAGAGGAAATGCGTCAGGGGAGGTTTAGATTGGATATTAGGGACAATTTCTTTACTGAAAGTGTGGTCAGGCATTGGCACAGGCTGCCCAGGGAAGTGGTGGAGTCACCGACCCTGGAGGTGTGCAAAAAACGTGTGATGTGGCACTTCGGGACATGGTTTAGCAGTCATGGTGGTGTTGGGTTGACGGTTGGACTTGAAGATCTTAGAGGTCTTTGGCAACCTTAATGATTCAGTTGATTCTATGACTGTGTTGCAGTTTTTCATATATTGTTTAAAATGTGTTGCTGAAAATGGAAACAAAATACACTGCAGAAAAACTTCTGAAAGTCCTACCTAGTTTGGTCATTTTTTTGTTCTCAAAGTTTGGTACAAGAACCAGTTGTGCACATGGTATGTGGTGATCGAGGTTAGGCCGTGTCTTCCTGACCACGTGTGTTTGCTGAAGAGTGTCAAAAACCTTACAGAAGGAAAGATGCATCTTGTCTGCTGTTTCAGCTCTGCACACTAGACTGAATTTCCTCGTATGAGGAAATTCAATTGGTTTGACATCATCTTGATAAAGAATGTTGGCCCATTCTGATTTATTTCCTCTGTTTCTATTTGGACTTTAATTGTTTAATATTTTGTTCCATGATTTCTCTGGAAATGCGTTTCTAGTTTTTGTCTACTATACCACTTTTCTTTAAAGGTAAATGTATTTATTCTACTCCATGCTCAGACATATTCCCTGTCCTTCAGAAATTTCAGAGGTAGCTAGGAGCACTTCAGAAATTACTTCAGCTACTTTCTGAAGTTCACTAGAGTGAATTTCAAGCCCTGACAATGTACACGTCTTAGTCATTGCCACCCTGCTGTAGTAGTCACCGTGCAATAGCAAATTTGGATATAGAGCTGACACGCGATAAAGTCCTTTCCTTTGTCTTCCCACACAGTGAACTACTCCAGTTTCTTCTTTCTCATCACTCTTTGAAACACCTACCCTTTTAAAAGTTGTGCTGTTTAGGGAGCATGTTAGTGCTCTAATAAATTATTTTTTGCTCAGAGTTTCTGTGATCTTCCTTTGTGTCCATGCCTGTAATGTAGATGCAAGACAGACAAAAATGTCAGCAAGACTTGATTTCATGGAATGATGCTTTTCTTCTTAGAGATATGGTGATATTCGATATGAGGATGTTGAGAGCATGCGCTGTAGGAACAGGCTTTACGTGATCCAGACGTTAGAAGCTACGACCAAGAAGAATGTGGTGAGTGACTTGGAAGAGCTAAATCCTTCTCTCTGACAACTTTCGTTCCCTTTTGGAACAAGCACATTTTCCAGGGCCAAATATATGATTTCATACCCTGAAATCGCTCTCGTCTGCAGGGTGTCTGTTAACTGAGATATGGGCTGTGATGTTTTCAGTCAGTGAATCGCAGCATGACCTTCTGGTCTCTTTACAAGTAACACCATCACAGACAGCTTCTAAAGGCTGTCATATCTCTGACGCTTTGCGTTGATTGGAACAGGCTGACCTAGATTTCTGTGTAGTGTGGTTGACTTGTTGATGCATTTCTCTTAGGGCCGTGGTGCACTGTCAACTGTCCACAGTGCTACACTAAAACAATTAATCACCTGCATTTTTATTCTGGGAAGCAATCCCAAATGTCCCTGAAGAGATCATTGTACTGTGTTCAACAAGGATTGCTTTTTGTCTGTGGTGTCTGTGGATGTGCAGTAATGCATGCGTGCATGGTGTGGTAGCTCAGCAGCTGCTGATACCATCCTTTAAGTTCAGACTCCTGAATGAAGGTGGAGATTGCGAGGTGCTTCCTTTGTTTGTCTCTTTTCTTCAGTGGCCCATTTCCAACAACTGATGATAATACTAGTCTATTTAACAAGCAATGCTTCTTTCTCTAGTAAATGTGGCCTATAGGAACCGATACTAAATGCTTCTGGGTGTGCTAAGATGATGACTGTTGTATTTCATTTTACAAAACATACATATTGTGAAGATGAAACCTGGTCTTGTAGCTAACTTTGTTTTAAAAAGCTGTGCAAAATTTTTTTTTTCCTTTTAATTTAAAAAAAAATGAGGATTCAGCTTCACTGTTCAGAGTTGAACATGCATTTGCCCATTAGAAAGGAAGCTATAGGTTACATCATTATAAATAATTGACTTTTATCTCCTGGGTTTCATAGTGTAGGCTCCATGTGTGCGAGTAATGTGACTAACTTTAAGTTTCTTTTTTTTGGGAGAAATTATTTCTTTCAGTCTATAATCTTCTAATTGCTTTTAAGAAGAAATTCTATTCTTACTCCTAATTGTAACATGCCAAATACTGGAATATTCAGACAGTGTCTTTTAATCTGAAGTTATGTTTCCCATAACTTTATTCTATAGGCTTATTCCAAAGAGGGAAGACTTATTAATTAATTAATTTTATCATAATTTTGTTTCAGCTACGTGTTGTATCCCAGGATGTCGAATTCAGTCCTAGTGATCTTGAAGAGCTTTATGAATTATTCAAGGTAATGTGCTATTTTCTTCACTTACCAAACATCCGTCTTAATGGTGGACTGTGTTATGGGTGTGAAACAGTTTTAACCAATGGAGGTAGAAGATAGATTCAACATTTGTTTTACATGTCAGCTTTAAATCAAATTATATAGTTAACTTCCCACACCTTTCACCGAGAGACAGTTGTTGTTTCAGAAAATCTAACAGTTTATCTTTCCTTTGCAGAAGGAGCACTTTCTTTCCTGTTACTGGAATGTAAATAGTCCTGCCTTGCAACATCATGATGCCAGTCTGCCGTATCTTGACCAGTATCGGATTGATTGCCAGCAATTCAGGGTTCTCTGTCATCTCTTGAGCCCCTGGTCACACTGTGCGAACAGAGACTCGCTTGCGTTGTGGACATTCAGACTGATGGATGAGGACTCTGACTGCCTTATAAACTTCAAACAATTTGCCTGTGTTCTTGGTATGAGGACAACACATATATGTAGCACATTCACAAGGGAACTGCAGCTTGGGAGTAGTCCTGGAGTGTATCCCCTTCCACGTGCTATATAAAGAGCCTAAGAGGACTAGCCTCTTAGCTGAGGGTGAAATAGTCTGATTTTTGTCATGTGACATTAAATGCAAAGACTTTTTAAATGGCAATCCAAATGCTAAATGTATATTTATAAGCTTGAGAGTGGGAGCTACACTGTTTAGGCGAATGATAAGGGCTCTAAGTTGTGGAACTGTGCTCTAATTTTCTTGTCTGTATTTCACCATGAAATAGCTAACAAGGCTTTACAAGCTACTAACTTTTCTGAGACGTTAATCTCCTGTTAGAGATTAAATTTAAATATGGCTTTACCATCAAAATATGAGAAAATTAGGAAATGGTATGATCTCATTGCTCGGCCTGTTTGGTTGATGATAAGTAGTTCCTCATACTAAGCCATCTCATACAGAGATCGTGCAAGATGACCAATGCCTCATATCTCTGGGGAACTGAAAGTTCTCTTGACTTACTACTCTGTTCCTTTCATCTTGTTTTCAAGGTAGTATTGTTCAGGAAACAAAAATTTAAGGGAAAATGCTGAGACGACCTTAGTGCTGTATTTCTTTGGTGCTGTGGTTTCATTCTAGTTAAGTCATAGACATAATTAGTGTTCTTTCTTCAGTAAAGGCAAGCCCCAGGCTCAGCTGCAGGTGATACTGCCTTCCTTAAGCTCCATTTCTAATTATACTCCATGTAAGATAGGACACATGTCCAGTTTCAACCTGTATTTTGTTAGGTTTACAGGGCGTTTTAAAGTTTTGTGGAGTTGAACGGACTGTCTTGCCTCTTTCCTCTAACAGATACAATGTATAATGGAAGTTTCACTGACAAACTCAAGCTGCTTTTTAAGTTGCACATCCCTCCGGGTAAGTGCGAGGTGGTAGCATTTGGGGAGGGCTGTTCCTGGCTTTTGTAAACTTCGCATGCTTTTTTTTCCTTAGCTTTCTTCTTTTTCCTGTTGTCCCCAGTGCTGGCTACAGTACAGTCTGATAGCTGTGATACAGATGTGTATTTCTTCCAGAGTGATATATTCCATGATTCTGTTCTTTGGGGAGGACTTCGTCTGCTCCAGCACCATTTCCCTTCCAAGGGACCATTTGTGTGTACAAAGCTTTTGCTTTTTATCACTGCTTTGGTAATGCTTGGGAGCCCCCAAACCACTCTATTAATTTATTTATTGCAGCTTTTACTGAAGTAGAATCTCTGAGCCCTTCCAAAGGTGGTGATCTTTCAAAAGAAGAACTGATCCACTTCACCCAACTCAGTGGTAAGCTCCAGAGTGTGAGGCTTTGACTGCAGAATATTAGAAGGAATCTATTAATTATCTCGTGGTGAAAAATGGGGAGCTCTCTTCTGAAAATTGGTAAATCCAGTAAATCATATCACTGTTAAGAAGAATCCTCTGCAGAGGTCTTCTGTAGATAGCTATATTTTCATAAAGTAGTGTATAATTTGTGGATAGCTTGTCTGATGATTGAATTCAATGGCCACGGGTGTTTACATGGAAGCAGGGGAGAGTGTACTTGGTCAGCATTTTTCAGCATAGTAGGCAACCTGTTGCAGTTGCTGTTGAAGTGATGGCATTTCACTTTTGCATTCAAGGCATAAAGGGATGATATTTCCTATCTCAAGGAATAAAATATCCAAATCCATAATTATTTTGAGGCACATAAGAAGGTGTTTAAATATCCTTTGCTTCCATTTGAAACCAAGTAAGCTGAAAAAAGTTTTATGAGGACTAAGTTTATGGAGCTGATAAGATATTCTGTTGGAAAGTTGTGTGGTTTTACTGCTTTGGAAGGCAGATCCTTTTTTTGTTTTTTAAAAATTATCTTAAAGTACTTTATGTGTAATATATGGCTACTGTTCTCACCACTGCTCAAGACATGGGCCGTGAACACGGTAACGACTATTTGCTCGATATAACTGATTGCAGTTTCTTTTGTGATCTCCAGCCTTGTGGTGGCTTCTGGTTTTATAGAAAGTACACAAATCTTGGTTTTGTTGTGGCCTAATCTGTGTTGAGAACATAGGGGTTGGTGAGGGTCTTGTTCCTTAACGAAGGAATTTTTTGTAAAAAGAAATGAACCATTGGTCCGTTTTTCTCAGATAATACATCTTTCTTCTTTTTCTCCTTCTAAACTGTAGTTTCATCTGTTGGGGATAGTCTTGAAAGTGATTCTCTGAAGAGCAGCCCAGAAAAAGGTGAAGAATCCTGGAGACACATTTGGTAACTGTGTGTCTTTTGGGGAAGCAGAGCTGGGGAAGTGTGTGGTGACAAAGTACACTGAGTAACATCATCTCTAACGTAGTACTAGCATTATACTCACTTTGGTAAGTGTAGTACTGGGGGGCGAGAGGGCAGTGTAAAACTCTCATCCTGTTAAGTCCTTGGCCCCACCTCTCTGTTGAGAAGGAATGACACTGAGGATGTCAGTTCTTCTGCTCATCATCCCTCATGGGAACCTCTTAGTTCTTGCTTGTCGCTTCTATTATTTTTTTCTTTTTGTCAAGTAGGGAAGGGGAAGGTTGATATTCAGGCATATCTGAAGCAATGGCAAGATGAGCTTCTTAAAAAAGAAGAAAACATTAAGGATTTGCCAAGAATGAATCAGGTGAATTGTCTGAGTCTTATTTAAGTCTGTTTTTGACTGTGGTTTATCCTTTCAGTCTTATTAGTAGTTTTGTAAAGGATTTGTAGGATCCCTTAAATTTCAGACCTTCACATTAATCATTAGTCTGTGGGGATTTTGAAACTGCTGTAACTGTAAGCTTATGAAGACAGGGACTTCCAGGCACGCTTAGGTTTATCAGGGCTGGTCCACGCCCGTATTGTCGTTAGAGCAGTTGTACCAGGGGCCTAGCAGCAGCAGGCACTGGATTGAGATCACAGCGTGTAGTGAAGCAGAACAGTTGTGTTGCTGTTCTCTGAATAGTCTCCTTTACATCTCTCTGTAGTCCCAGTTCATCCAGTTCTCAAAAACTCTGTACAATCTGTTCCATGGGGATCCTGAGGAGGAACTGTTGTTTTTTTTTCACATCACCAGTCCAAAGTCCAGTTGCCGTTACAGAGGTGCCTGCTGAAACCCCCAGAAAAGGGCAGGAGGAAAGCAGCTCCGAGCAGACTGAAGGCAGTAGAGCACAGAGTTTCAGAGGGAACCATGAATGGTCTTTTGCCTTTGAACAGATCCTGGCATCCTTATTAAATGAGCCAGCCTTTGTGAGGTTTTTTGAGAAACCTCATGACATAAAAATTAAAATAGAGAGTGCTAAAAATTTACAACTTAAAGCAAGAACCAGAATTTAATTTTCTTTACCTTTGACTCTGAATTAACCACATAAAGCGCTTACAAATGAAGGTTGTTACTATGGAAATTGAGTCTGGTGTTTACATAGGGAATGGAGTTTGAAGAGTTAGCTTTAAATATCAGATTACTGGTATGTAATGTAAATAAAAATAGTTTGAAGCACAATCACTTTCTTGCATTGTTCATAAGTTTCACTCCAAAAAAAGGACTGAATAATAGACTGTCTTTACCATGTTATTAAAATATGCAACGTTGCTTGGAAATGCTGGATGTGACCTACTGCAAACCTATCTGAATGACAGCTGTTACAGTGACAGCTCTCCAGGTTCATTGGTACTACTGTGAGAAAAGGAATAACTTCCAGCCATTTTCACTTAAAAGGAGTGTGGTCAGCTTAGAGGTTGTCTTCCAGGTTAGTTTAATTAGTTATTTCCAAACTTACATGTGGGCTGGGATCAAAGCAGGGCGAACACTAAGAATAGAAGGTGTGGTAGACACAAGATTAGCATGAGGTTAGAGAAGAGTCGCCCTGCTCTCAGTTCCCCCGCTTTGGTGTTACCGATGGTCTTGGACTCTTGCAGATTCCAGCTTCTCGTCGGCAGTTTGCAGACTGCATTCTCGCAGCCCACGTCTCAGCTTTTGCAACAAACAACTTGGCTTCCTGCTTTTCTAGCTCAGCCTACATAGGAATTCTCTTTCCTGTTTTCACACCAATCCTCCTACAATACAGGTGAGAAGGATGGAAGCTTTTTTGGTCATCCAGGCTGCTCACAGATGCAAAAGCTAGTGCAGATTGTTGAAATCAATGGAGAGCAGTGGCTAAATCTGTCTGACCCTGTGGTGGTTGTCATTCGTCTTGCAAGAGGAGCCATTGTTGGCTTCTTAGGAGCATGTTGATGAAATGTATAGTTTTGCTTGTGTTTGAAAACCTGAAGCACAACCTGTCCTTAGCTGCTTCATAGTTAGCTGAATGCTGACTGTTGAACTGCTAGGGACAGATTGCAGTTGCTCCTTTGCCTACTCTGAGTTCACACCTCCACCTCGTAATGATTCTTTCCTTTCTGTAGCGCTCTGAATTATTGATGCTGTAATATCTTCTGTCTGCTGGGACTCATCACAACAAGAAAATCCTCTGGAATCTGACTTGAAATTTGTAATATATAAAAAATTATATAGTAAAGATCATGTGGAGACAAGCTGTGCCAGCATTAATGCTGATAAAGTGTTGACCTTGAAGCTTTGGTAGCTGGTGCTAGAATGGGTTTAGAGAAGGAGGGGAAGAACTTGTATTTTAACAACAAAAAAAGGAAACTGGCACTCTCTGCTACACTAGTTAAAAATGGCTGTTTCTAAAGCGTGTATGACAACATTTCTGTGCAGAGCGGCATTATTTTTATACTGTGCATGTATTTTGTAAAGAAGCAGAATGGGAATGGTGTCAATCACTGCAGCTTTTCTTGCAATACGAATATGAATGAAGAATAAAATGAAATTCTGGCTTGTTACAAGCACTTGGCGAAATGCTGCCATTGCAATTGGTATTGAGGTTCCCATGCTGCTTCTAAAGAATACAGTTTTGATCAGGGCCAACAAATTTATGAAATATTTCTTCTACTCTCCCCCGTACTCTCAGGTATTAATGTAAAATAAAGTTTTATTGAATGAACAGTAACTCCAAAAACTATATCATATATGTGAGAAATGAGGAAGCTTTTTTCAGAAGCCTTCACAAAGTTGTTACACTTGACACAATATAATACTGATTTGTATTTTTATGTGTAAAATATAAAAACTAATTTATCCATTCATATGGATATGTTTCTGAGGCAAAGTAGGGTGACACTGTGTTACTTTTAAAATGTATTTACTCATTGTTTTCCTCATGTTGTTTTAGAAATACAAAGCAGATGATATTGTTCTAGTCGAGGACGTACTTAGATAAGGTTTGCTCAGTGAGTAATTCTTCTGCAAATAGCCATGCCGAAATTAATGGAGCCCCATGAAAACAGATACTGCTGCCCAGCCAAAAAGCTTTTGTAGGGTTATGATGGATGTTGTTAATTTCAAGAAGTAGTCAAAGCTGTGAACTATTTGCTAAGCAAGGTAGCACAGAGATATGAAAGTCTTAAACCTCAGTGACAGTTTTTGGTTGAGAGCCAAGATGTTAAGATCTAAGTTCAGAAGACTGTACTGAAGGAACCTGAAAAATACAGTAGCCTTGTGACTCTACTGGGTTTGGTTATGCAAAACTGAGCACCTTTGTAACGTAGAATTTTCTATCAGTGTCAATCCAACAGGCTGCAGAGCCATTACCAGTCACGTAGCAGCTCTTGTCAGCTCTCACATCTGTGTATAAAGACAGATTACCAGCATATGTATATGTATAAATAGATATAAGGTGAAAAGTAGGGGAATGCTAACTTTTATTAACTTTTATTAACTGCATGGGTTTTCTGTTCAATTTGTTTATGTTTTTCCCCCAAAAGGGTAATGTCTTGAAGTCATTCCTGTCATACTCCTGCAGGCTGATCCAGCAGGACCAGTCAGAGCGGCCAGGCGTCCAGCCTTGGCAGGACGGAGCAAGGTCGCTTCCAGCAGGCTGGCAGCGCTCAGGCAGCTGCGCAGCTGGCAGGTTCTTCCTTCTGGAGCCTGTGGGTCGCGGGCTGGTCCTCTGGGGACACCGAGGTGTAGCCAATGCCAGGTATCTCCAAGGAGCATAGCCAGGAGGTGCGTTTGCTGGGCTGCTTCCACAGCGTGCCGTAACACTGAGGGGCACTTGTGCTTTGCTTGTGACAGAGTGACTCTGGAGTTAGTGTCCAGCTCCTTTCCATCCCTTTCCTGTCGTGGAGGTGGGCTGGCTGACAGCTATACGCAGGCTTGGCTGGGCCTGGGGCAGCTGGAGCAGAAGCAGCTCCTTCCTCAGTCGCAAGGGGCGATGCCTTGACCAGAGCCCTGTGAAGTCAGGGGCAGAGATCCCCGTCCGATAACAGCTTTCTGGCCGTCTGAGATTCTCGGTGATGCAAAGATGAGCCCAGAGTCACAACACGTTGCATTAGGATGCTGCGGGTGTGCACGCTTCTGCCCCATGTAGCTGGGAATTAAGCAGAAGTGCGAGCAAGGAGTCTGGCGGTTGCAGTGTCTCACCCAGTATTACTCAGCCGCTTCCGAAGGGGGGACTTTCCGTTCAAATTGTAACTTGGAAGTTTGTAGAAGTGTTTTTGAACTTTGAACAGTTCATTCACGAACAGGAAGCAGCGGGGTTAAATGAATACTGATGTGTCATTTCACATATCTATATGTTATTATTTTTCTGTAACAGTTTTTCACAAACTTATCAGTCCTTTTATTTATAGGAAATAAATGAATGTGCACCATTCGGTACAAAATAGACCATTGTAGGTAGGGTATAGATTGCTAAACAGTGATGCTGTTTATACAGTTTTAACATTGCACTACCTGCTGCAGGGTCACCAGTGTGACTTGGCAGCTGTGCCATGGCTGTTTATCCTGAAACATTCTCCGTGGCCGTTAGCGCACACCTCGCAGTCCTGCCTCCTGCCCCAGTATCGTTGTTGCTATGCACATGCGATGCCTTTTGTCAGCCGTAACCCTTAGCCCAAGGGGACAGCGGGCAGCGTGGCGACGTTTCCTCGGCCGGGCGATGCATCGCGTGCTGCTCGGGGAGCCGGCGCTGCTGCCCGCGCTCCGGGCCAGAGCTGCAGCCCCGACCTCGGCGAGGAGCTGGCTGCGTGCCCTCCTCGCGCGCCTCGCTCAGCGCTGGAGCACACGAGGCGGGGGAATAGCTCAACTAACGGTCGTAAAAATACCAGCCCTTTCCACCGTGAGGGGGAACGGCTTGTAATTCGACCGGTAGCGTTTCCCGGGACATGGAAATGGTCGCTGCCGCGTGATGCAGAAAAAGCGCTCTGTGCTTCCGGCCGTTCCTTAAACCAGCCATTTGTTCATTACTCTAATAATGTATTTTTAGAAGAGTTTGCTACCATAGTGACTAAGAATTAGTTCTGTGTTGATTTTATTAGAAGTTTCTCACCCAGTTGTACCATACAAGGCTCTTGATTGCAATTGCAGTTGTTATCTGAGCTAAAACAAAAAGAAATACTCCAATTGGTTTCCAGAAAAATAGACTATTTCGTCTTACTTGCTACAGCTTTGTCACTTTACCAAGAAGGCAATACATGTTTGTGTTGGCGGGTTGGCTTTTTTATACAATGTATTGTATGCAGAAGTACTGTAAGACAAATGTGGTGTTAAATAAAAATTTGTTTCACTTCAGGAAAAAAAAAATCAGTGTTTGAGGCACTATTATTTCTCATGATGCACTGTTTCAGAAGTTCCTTTGAGATCATTAGTCATGTTAAAGCTACATTTAGTCAGTGCTTCCCGAAGCAAGGACCAAGCCAAAAACCGTGTGAGGACACCAGCCTGCCCAGTAGTGGAGTAAAAATAAAGAGGAGACCCAGACTTTGAAGCCTGGGACTCGTTTAGCCTTGCGCCCAGCCTGAGCTTTCTTCAGGGCCTAGACGGCGAGTGAGTTAGCCCAGGATGAGTACTGTTAACTTGTGGGGGCTTTTTTTTGCATCCGAACTAAAACATCTACAGTGTGCAGACATGTCTACACTGCCTCTGATGCCTTGTTCTTTCTAATTGATGTGTTGCCCCTATTGCTTCCGACACCAGTCACGGAAATCCCAGTCTCCCTCTCGAGCCCTCTCCCTGCAGTGGTTCCTACACATGAATACACGATGGCTGTCGCTCTCGTGCCTCCTGCAGAGCAAGGAGCAGCTTCTGAGCCGCCATCCCACCCAGGGAGTAACAACAGCACATACTGTGTAAGAGGTCTCACAAGTATTATTTTATTTCTCTTTTTTTTTTTTTTAAATACTATGTACAATCTGTTTAAAGCTTGTCAAAATGCGTGGGCTCCCATTCAATGGAGCTGTGCAGAGACATAGAGTCAAGACAAGAATAAAATCTTCACTGTTCATCTTCATAAGACACTTCCTTTTTCCCATTACAAAATACTTTTTAAGAATAGTAACATTTATAAATGTATCTATATTCAACAGCATATAAAATAAACCAAGATTTATACTCAATTCTAAGATTTTTTCTTATTTTCTTTTTTCTTTTACATAGAGTATATACAATATATACAGTAACTTTTCACTGTTTGTCAAACCAGCCTGATTATACCTACCAGGCTTTAGCTTATATGTACAAATACGCTAAAAGTGCAAGACTTTATTAATTAAAGCTGCCTGTGTTTTCAGAGGTCTGGAATTGTGTGGCCTATATATACAGTTTTAGATATAGATATACAAGTACATACATATATATGTATATTAAAAATACATATATCTGTATATCTAGAGAGAGAGAGAGACAGACAGGTACAGTATGTAGGTGCTTGTGTACTAGAAAGCCTCGGAACATTAATGACCAATAGGTCGACACTGACACTGGAGCCTGGCCCTGACGCAGGTGGCATCAGCCACGTTCCTAGCCTCTGCTTGTCACCACCAAGCCACGCTTGCATCTTCTTGTCAGCACCCAAGGGGAGGGTGAACCAAACTCGCCAGCAACCCTCAATCCCAAATGGAGCCCGAAAACACACATCATAGCTGACACCGAGGTAAATGAATACAAATCAACCTGAATAAAGAGATTTATTTAG